AAATAATATAATATATATATATATATATATATATATATATATATATGTGTGGATTTCTATAATTTTGCATTAATGTTTTGGTAGGATATAATTTTGCATTAATTATGCTAATGTTAGAGGATTTTTCGATTTTTAGGTAACTGAAATTGTTAAAATATGAGAAAATCTTGGAACATCTTTCCATATTTTGTTTTTCTTATTAATATTTTTAATTTTACATATTAGGAAAGATTAAAAATCTGACAGATTTTAATATAATTATAAACATCACATTAATTCTTATAACTATTTTCGTTTTTATTAAATTTATGTTCAGATTTTAAACATATTTAATTAATTCAAAGTAATTAGCATTCTTATTAAATTTGTTTATTTTTTAATTAAATTTAGTATGTGATTCTCTTATATTTTTTGTTTTATATTAATTTTATAGTTTTAAAAAATGCATATGAAATACTACCATAAAATTCGAAGATTGGTTATAACAGTTAATATATTTATTACATATCATTTTATTGGAATATTTTGAATATATTGTGAAGATTGATATCTTGGCAGTTTAGTGTTATTTCTATAATAATCAAGTAACATTAATGATAGTAATTGAACCATATTTATGACCGTAATTTTATAAACAATTAATGAAAATTTTTGGCTATGGATCTAACCCGAATCCATTTACATATCCGTTTATCTAAGATCCAATTTAAAATTTCGGGTCGTTTTCTTAATTTAACCCGACCCGGAAAATAATTTTGTACTTCTCTTTTACTAATATAGGGATAGTAACTTCGTCATCGCTAATTATCCAATGCAGGTTATTTAATAACAAGGTGTCAGTTTTTATATATGAGAGGAGGTTTTGGCGCAAAGTCAATACCTGAATCTCTGGATCAGCAACAACATACTGCTTCAATAACCTATCGCCAAATGCACGAGAAACAGCAAGAACTCCTCCAACTCTCCATGTTCCTTTTAGCATAATTCCAATTAGGCAAATGATATAAACTCAAATACAAAGACAAGTTTCCACTAAATGTAATCTTACCAGCCCACATGACAAATCCTCCTGCATCCTCAATTCTTTGGCGCTCATCACTTTGATCAGGCTTGTGATCTCGGGATACAGCAATAGCTTTGACAAAAGAATCGAATTAGTACCATACAAAACAGCACGACTTATTGCAAATTTCATATACAAGGGCTATCATGTGATTATAACTACGAGGGGTTAGTTATGACTTATAAACCTGCATATATTGTTTGACAAACTAACTTTTCTTTTTTTGGGGCAACAACAAACTATCCCTTTGGACCTCTTAACATTCAACCCCAAATGACTTGGTCGAACTGAATGCAATGTGTAATCGTCGAAGTAGGGCCATTTGGTATAAAAATGAACAGGCATTACCATTGCCACCTCTGCATATAACAGCTCTAGAGTCCCCTACGTTTGCAACAAGTAAACGGTCACCAACCAAGATGGCTGTTGACGCTGTTGAACCAGCATCTCTGTTCTGACTATTTTCTGATTTAAGAAACTCTGAGTCTGTTTGGTTGTATGCATCAGCTGAAATGAGAAGCAAGGAAATGAAAAAATCAGAAGGATAAATTAGGCACCTTGCTGGGTCTATGTAATGAATTATTTGGCTAACAAGATTATAAGTGAAAATAACCTATAGCAGCTCTGGTATCAGAGATGAACTTTGGATGCCTGATAAGGTTACTGAACAGATTTTGCTTCACATATTCAGCTGCACGTGCACCTCCATGACCTGGATAAAACATTAGCTACATCACTCCACTTCACTCTCTAAATTACCTTCTCCAGTTTACCATACTAAAACTCAGAACTTCCGGGTTATATTTCAATTTCTACATACTGATAAGTGACACACAATTCTGCATAAGAAACATTTCTATGTCTACATGATGATAAGTGATACACAATTCTGCATATGGTAGAAACTTAAATTCAGTACTGGAAACTGTTTACAGGCAAGATATAGTCAGTAACACATTAGTTCCTGTATATTGGAGAGACATGTATACCGTCAAAGACTCCAAATAGACCAACTATTTCCCCTTCAACGCCATCGATTCTCGTCTCGTAGAAGTCCTCCATTGAAGATCTTTTACCAGGAGAGCTTGCATATCCATAGCTGAACTTCCCGTTTTGACTGCACATATTTAAGTCTATGAATGTTATCACAATACAATTTAAACAAAAGAAATTGACAGCAGCAGCATCTACAGTCACATTTCTAGGAACAGTGCCTTATGCCTAAACATATAATCACAAATCTAATTGCAGATTCGAAGAATGACTTCTACTGTTGAATCGAACTTCCAATAAAGATTACTATAAAGCTTAGAGTTAAGTAATCAGCCAAGTTTCCAGATCAGAAGGATAATAACTATACAGAAGAAGGTAGATTGCTAGACAATGATTTGCGGAGTTCATCCCAATACAAAAGAGGTGTAAGACATGATCGAGAGCAAGAAACTCCTCTATCCACCTAAGAGAAAGATGTGATTTCCACGCATATATATATTACTGAAAACAGAAAGTGTATAACAAGATGCAAAGGCTTCAGCCTAAATCTAGATTATTATATAAACACAGCTGCAAAGCAACTTCCTAAATCCTAAAACAACACAGAAATGATTAAAAGTGGAGAAAGAGTAAAGAAAAACCTGAGGCCGCCGCCGCTAACAGGTCCATCGTCGGCGTGAACCTGGCTCGAAGATGACAACACAGAATTCAGATATCCCATAACTCCTCAGAAATTCCCCCAAACACAAAAAGCCTCTCGTCTTAATCGGAACAAAAATTCCAAAGAAGAACAAATTCAATTCTGAAGCTGATTCAGCTCCCTTTATCCGCCAATCAAACCCTAAACAACGTCCCAAAAAAAACAATATGCCAAACCAAATGGTCATCAGACTTATAAACAATTGATCGAAATCGAGTCCTACTTCTACAGATGAATGGATTGAGCTAAAATAATGAGCAGATAAATTGAAAATGGCAAACGGATTGAGCACGATCAGATCGAAGAGGTGAAAAAAAATTGGGAAGAATCAAGAGTAGTTTTGGGGCATACCTGAAGAAGAAGAAGAAGAAGAAGAAGAAGAAGAAGAAGAAGAAGAAGAAAGAGATGAAGAATACAGCAGATTTGACGAGAATCAGTAGCAGATTAGTAAAATAAAAGACCCGACAAGAATTAGGGATTCCTAAGAAATAGCTCTCTCTCTCTCTCTGGGTCTTCGTTTTGAAATAAATGACGAAGAAGAAGAAGAAGAAGAAACAGGCTTTACCTTTTCAAATCTGATTCCTCCATTTGTATTCGTCTCTCTGTACACAACTATTATCTGCTTTTTTTTTCATTATTATTAGCAATTAAGAATAATTAAAATTAACGATAAGTATGTAACTACTAATTAGAGAAATAAATAAATAAATAAATATATATATATATTTATGACATATATAAAAGGAAAGAAAAGTCTCGTGGGCCTAATTGTGTGCCTTAAAAAGATGATTATTATTCCTTTCTGTCAACTTTACGGTGAAACCAAGTTAGTAAATCAATGAATCAACCGTCCTTCTCACTGGATCTTGACACGTGGTATTCACATGCAGATGATCATTGTTCTACGTTTTTTTTCAAAACATTTTTCTCACATCCTCTGTACTATTTTTATCACACCAAAACAATAATAATAGGGTAACCTTTACACAGACCCAGAAGTCACTTGTAAATTATTTATTTCACTTCCTACCCAAAAAAAAAAAAAAAAATTAATTCCACTTTCTTGCTCTTGAAAGGCCAAAGATTCATCTTCTTGTAAGTGAAAACTAAGTTGTCTTTATATCATAGGATTGTTCCTGATAATTGAAAAAACTCACTCAATGCTTCTTTTCATACAAAATTGAAAACTAATTTGACGTGTATTCCTATTTGATTGAATAGGGATTGTAGTTTCCGTCTCGTTATAGGACCCGCACGGCTCGTCCAAATTGAAAATGTGTTACCCATTTTATACGCAACTTCAGAAAGATGATCAGGACAACTAAATTCCAATTGTACCAAATCTAGCACTCGTAGCCAAAATAAATAAAAACACACTAGGAGACAACAATGACGACTTCCTCATCGATCAATTTCTCAGTATCATCGTGTAATAATACTCTTTTCTCCCTCTTGGTCACCAAATTTTTTTCCTCTGGAGCTTCTCTTCCACTTGTTTAGCCACATCTTCCCTTCATCATTATTCTCCTTTTCTCCTTCTCTTTTTCTTTACATATATATATTTGGATTGTCAATGCTTTAATTGCAATGTTTAAAATCACAGTCTCGTCTACGTTTGGTTTTGTTTTATTTTGAGTTTTGTCTTTTGACTATGCATGAAAACACTCATCAAAGACATCTATATGTAAAGCAGAAATGTTTTTAATTAACGGAAGAACAAGAACGTCTAATATCACCATTTTCACCAACTTTCACACCAACCATACTCAGCTTCACAAACGACTCAGTCCATCTCTGAAAAAAGCTTTCCCCATCACTCGCCAGCTCCTCCACCATCTTCCTCGTTCGATCATCCTCCATCAGCGCAGAATCCGTTTGAAACAAACCCTTGTGCGTCTCCAGGTTCCTATAGTACTGATTGTCGAATGTAGAAGATGTCTCTGGATCGTTGCTCACCGTCAATGACGACGATTCTTCTGAGGAAGAACATTTGTTCATTAGCGTCTCTGCGTATGTGTTGTCCAGAGACGCGTCAATTAGCTCGAAGTTTCCTTTTGTGTCTCGTTTAAATCTTCCATCGAATGCGTTGCAATGCGAAGCCCCAATTGTGTGTGCTCCTTAACGTAGAGTAGTAATATATAAAATCAGAAGAAACAGAGTTTAGATCTCTAACGAGTATGGTGAAACAGAGTTTAATTGCTACAAGTATTGACTAAACCCGGATTGGTTATTTCAATCTATTCTAATTATATGGTCAAGCTCTTTGTAGAAGACTATGTTTATTCATCATACTCTGTTAGTGATTAGCAAAACAATATGGTGAAAATTGAGTACAAGTTTCAAGAAACATTGATATATATACCAGAGAGAACGACGAGATCTTGAATAGACAAGCCTTTAGAGGAGAAGGCATCGATCATTTGACCGAGACTGAAATCTGTGTCGATTATGTTCGGTCTTACATTTGCAGCCATCGATATGTTCCCGTCTCTCCTCCCCGTCGGAATCTCAACCACCGGTCCTCCTGCCTGTCCCGCCAAGAAAAATACATTCAAAACCTTTAGAAGGATGACCGGTTTAATATGTCCAAGCCCGGTTTTATTTGGTTCTATGAGAAAATGATACAGAATTTGATTTGTTTCGGTTCAGTTTGAATTAGTTAAACCAGACGAGAGCCATATGCAGTAGATTGAAGTGAAGGGGGAGTGAATGTTACAGCTTCAACGGCGTCTCTAGCAGCAAGTGCGACTATGTCAGCGCAAGAAACAGTGGCCGGACATAGAATCTCGATGGCATTCTTGGCTCTTTCTATGACTGAGAATCCTCCAAGAGAGGCGTTTCCGGGATCGCTTCTCTCTGTGCTATTCCCTTGTATCAACACTGACGCATCACAACCCTGGCATTTCAACAATCAAAGCTCAGCCCAAATTGTTTGAATCGTCTCTGCAATTCGTAGCGAGCATGTGTTTACCTGGACGAAACAGTCGTGGAAGAGGAGGCGGAGGAGTTTTCCGGGGATGGTTGGATCGGATGATGTAGCTGATCGAACGGTGTTTCTGACGAGAAACTCAGCCAGAGGACAAGAATTGGCGTAGAAGTTGAAAGAGAGGTCGGCAGACGAAGAGAGAAGACTAGACAAAAACAGAAGAAGATGAAAAGGAAACGAATAGTATACTCTGTAAGAGGACGCCATTTTTTGAAGTCTCTGTGTTTGACTCGAAAAAGAAAGTGACAATGATAATAGAAGGCGAGAGAGAGAGAGAGAGAGAGAGAGAGAGAGAGAGAGAGAGAGAGAGAGAGAGAGAGAGAGAGAGAGAGAGAGAGAGTGTCGAGTCACGAGAGAGCATTGAAGGTTTTCGTAATAATAAATAAGAACTGTTCTTTGTATAGTTTGCATTTGATTTATGTGTCAGAGAAAGATAGTTGAGGTGATGAAGTTAAGTCAACGCAATTTAATGAATGGTCGTCTTCAGTTGAATCCAACATTACCAGCATCAACCGTGGTTTTAAGTGAATCCGACATACTATCTCTATGGGTTTTGTCGGTGAGTTAACTTCCCAAGACAATGCATGCAAGAGAACTTCTGGAACAAAAAGTGACCCAACTTTCTCGAATAATGGATGAACATTGATTTCTAACTTTTTATGTCTTCGATACATTTTCATGATTCACTTTTCTTTAGTATCTATCAGACAATCACAAATAAACTGTATCCTGAGAAAAATAAGTCTGAGCCTGATTTTCTAAATCACAGAATCCCCACTAATGTGGTTTTTCCAGCTTGTCGATTAAGCAGTCAGATATTAGCAAAAGAAAGATTCTGACCACTAGGATGGAGAGATTCATGTCTCGTCTCTCGTAGGGTCGTCCGCTTTTGCTTTCTCCATCTCTTCTATTTCATCAATGTCATCAATTGGGATTTCTTCGCTATCATACATCGGAAGATCTGCAATACACAACATGAAATGTTTAATTTCTTGATACTGGACTAAATATCTTTTTTCATTGGCACTTAATGCAGTTCTATTATAAGGTAGATCGATTGAGTAAATGGACAACATCATAGAATGTATATCTACATATTATTATTGCAACCAAGTTCTTATCTGCAAAGAAAGCCATATTCATACCTGATGGAGCCAGTGAAGCCTGGATATTAGTTCTTTCCCCTGTTACTGGTGATGAATCAAGGATATATGGGAGACCAAGGAGCTCTAACAAAGACAATGTCTGGGGATTCTGTGGGATCTCTACACAATTCCACAAGAATAAAGCACTTTTAATAGATTAACCATAAATTTTACATCCTAGTAGATCTCATCGGTGTTCTTCATCAATTTTACATAATACTCTATATCCAACACATTAACTTACCAGGTATGGGATCAAAGTTACGTTGTGATGGGTTATATGTTGGGACTGTCCTTGCAAACTCAAAAGATTTAAATTGCCTTTCTTCTAGCTTCTTCCTCACCCACTCACGGCTCTCTTGTATATCCATTCCAGCAGCGCTACTGTCTCAAAACAATACATAAGTGGGACCGTGGATTGAAAGATGAATGGAAGAAATATAAACATGTCTTAGTATGTAGCTTGGTCGAGATGGTAATACCTGAAGTTTGCGTATCTCCTTGTTAGCGGAAAAATGGAATTGAACTTTCGTGTTATTGATAGCCACTCTTCGTCGTATAGGACCTCAAAAGGTCCAGGCTCTGATTCGATTTCAATAATCTAATGAACATCCTAAGAAATTATAAGATATTCTTTTTGTTTCACAAGAACAAATCATAAGGTGGACAGGTAGGAATTAAAACCTGTAAAAACTTTTTCCCTGGTTGGCATTTATCAAGGGCCAAAAACTTTGTCACTGTGCCATCATTCCCGTGTTGAACAGCAGCAGCAAATTTGCAGTGTAAGTGAGCTGAAAACCAATACCGAGGCTTCAGTTTTTCCAGCAGTAAAGCTGCTGGTTTACTTCCAAGAGTTCTCTCCTCGATCTGTAATAAATTTGGTCAAATCAACTGCAAATATCTCAAAACCAAAATGAAGAAGTAGAATCATGGTCTCAAATTTATCACTTTTACCTCTTGACGGAAGTATGGTTTTTGCCGCATAAGTGATTCTGAATCTCCATAATCAGTAATTCCAAAAGGCCAATCATGTGAGAGAAATATATCAAGCGGCTCTTCAAGTTGCATCAACTTCTGGACATCATACTCACGAACATGATAGACCGATCTGATGGTGCTCTCATTATACGGTGGCCGCTCGAAGTGTCCTACTCACAAAAATTACTGATTTCACTTTATTGACAAACAACAACAAAACTTAAAGGTTCTATAAACTGGACATGTCCAAAAAAGATACACAACTCAGAAATCCAGGTTCTTACTATTTCAAAAGCTGAAGATTTGGTACTTAATCAAAAGAGATGAAGAAGTGAACAAACCTGAACGGTAATGCCGCTCATTGTAGATACCCGAGAGGCCTCCAATTCGTAGATTACCAAACTTCACAACTCCTGCATAACCCAAAAAGTATACATTGGTGGCAGCCCAACCCCCATAATACCTAGAGCAACAAGCAGCAACCCATGAAGAACACATTTTTGAGCTTCAGAATCCTAAGTCAGTAAGTGGAGACAAGAAGACTAGAGAGAATAGTAGAAAACATACAATTCCCACAAGTAGTTAGAAGCTTCATGATTGCCACCGATGAAAATTGTGGGAATCGGAGCAACTTCTTGACCGGAGTAGTACTTCCAGAAAGATTTCATCTCTCTATATTTTCTAGGTACGTTAAGGCTATCCATGTCTTTCTCATTTCTGACAGCCTAAGTTATTTTGCCACCAAGAACAAATTTTTCACAATTAACAAGCAGAATCGAATGAGAGATATTTTGTTTTCCAGGAAAACTAAAGATTACCTGAAAATCACCGCAGCAAAGGAGGAGATCGACTTTAGTGTTGTGAATCTGTTCATGATGTTGAATTGTCTTGTACACATTGTCAAGGTCTCCGTGCATACAGCCTTCAATGGCAATCTTCATCTTCTCTTAGTTCTGAACAGCTAATTATTAAGAGAGTAATCACATTATCCACAAGCAAAAAGCACTTAGAATAAACTAAGATCAAACATACACTTAAACAAAGATGAGAAAGTTCATGCCCAAATTCAAATCAGTTTCACGAGTAATGAACAAACAATTAGTGGGTTTGTTCCTGAATAAAGCTGCAGCAAGGACCAAGAGAAGAAGAAGAAGCGAGGATTTAGGGTTTTTTTTTGAGAATCAAAAGTGAGAAGAAGAAGAAGAATAAAACGTCAACGTTTCGATAGACTTAAGAAACGACGTCGTTTCGGACAGAAAATCCGGTTGAGGAAGAGAAATTAACGGCGGTGAAGGAAGGTTACCCGGCGGCCGGCGCTAAACTGTATATTGGAAGATAGCTTAGAGACGAAATACAATTGGTCATGGCCCAATTCATTTATTGGGCTTATGAACCCACTAAACATGTAACCGTTTTCCATATTTTACCGCGTGATTTTTATTTATTTATTGTGTACTACTTTTCTTTCTTACTCGCACAAGTGCCAACTACTACAAATGATGACATACTTTGTTTCAAGTAGATATATTCACACACACATGTAATTTAATTATTGAATGTCGAATATATAGTTTTGAAACTATGTTTTGCGTATGCATAGACAGACATTCCAGCCATACCGATTTATATATGAGTTACATAATTAGTTCTTGTGTGTTTCTTGATATATGTAAGAATTGAAACTAACGAATGTGAGGGAGATCCTAGATTTGTACACCTATACATTTGTCTTAGAACTTGGAACAATTTAAGTCAGGTACTTCATCGTAGTTTCCTTGTAAAACACTAATTGTATTAGAATTTTAATTTGATAAACTAAAGGCATGTGAAAGGCATGCATCGCCATCTTTTAGTGTTCACACGATGCGTGCGTTTTCTTGTTCTTTCTTTGGTCGGGCGACGTACTTATAACGAATTCTATTCCACGATGAGTACCTTCCACTTTTGTCTTTTCTAATCTGGCCTTTTTTTTAATTGTAGTTTGAGTATCTAAAATTCAACTTTAACAAATCAAAAGTATCTCAAATACACTATTATACTATAGTATAGGCCATAGGACAGAGAAACGAGTGGAGATTTGGAAGCATGAAACACATGGGCAGCACAACAAAAGGCAACGTTGGCTCTCAAGATTTTTAATGCAATAACTCGTCTGGATTGAACTCTTTTCGTCGTTATTTCTTCCCAACGAACCTTTTAAAAACAAATGTAAAAACAATTATTAATTAATACCTTGTCTTACGATGTTTAAAAAATCAATTTACCAACTAAACCATATTTTAGTAGTATGCCGCTCCCCCGCTTGGTCGAGTTTTTCTCAAACAATCATATACTATAAGATGAGAGGAGAGGATCTATCTTACAAAAACGTTAGAAATCTCAAGGCAGGATCTATCTTACAAAACGTAAAAACGCAAATTGGTTTACTGGTGTACTAGAGAACCTCAAGGCAGAAACTCTTTTATTTCATAAAAGAAAAAGAGAGAATTGAGTCTAAACTATTAATTTATAATTATATAATTAAAAGACATATATACATACCTCTCAATTGCAAGCTCATACATTCTTTAACTCTCTCATAACAAACAGAAACATCTATCAATATACAAAACAAACAAGAAGAAAAAGTTTTGAACATATCCTCTCATTGTTGATCTAGTTAATTATTGAAGGGTGATGATAGTGATACAATACATGTAACTGTAAGGACAACATTATTGGCAGACTCTTATAAGTGAAACAGAGTATCTTAGCACAGTGTTTTGTATCTTATATATAAGATACAAAACACTGTGCTAAGATACAAAACACTGTGATAAGATACTCTGTTTCACTTATAAGGACCAGATGCCTTGCATGTTTTTGGTAAAGAAGGGACATAAATGTGCTACAATTTTGGAATTACAATTGCCGACATCAAGCTTTATTAACAAATATATATATTTTCCTCTTTTTTTTTCTTTCTTGTAAACCATATTTTCCTTTTCTTGTATTTTGAAACTATATTAATATGTATGTATGTGTACACGATATACTATATTTCTTCACTTTACATAAATTGGTTTGATTGGTTACCTCAGTTGTGGTAGGATCAATTTCCCATAGAATATTCGGATAAGTTTCGGTTTAGCCAAAATATTTCTTCTACTTATATAAAAAAGCAACAAAACTCTCCCAATCGTCATCGTCCTGAATCATCCACCATCCCACTCTGCTCTTCTTAAAAATCCTATCTTTTCCGTGGCTGCAATCTCTTTTCTCCCTCTCTCCCGCGACGCGCTTGATCTTTCATGGCTATTTGAATCTATTATCTTCTCTCTAACCAAAAAAATGCAAAACCCTTCAACGGTAACCAATGAATCAGCAGCTCCGGTCTTTGATCTCTTCCCACGGCTGAGAGGTTTAGCCTCTTTTAATCGATCTCCGTGTTCGAATTCAGATGGGTATGCTCTCTCATCGTCCAATACATTGTACTTCAATGGTTTCCGGACTTTACCCACCCGAAGGACGGGGAAAACCCTAGCTTCCCTGAGCTTGAACACTAAGAGCAGTGCCGGTTCGAGCCTGCGTAGGTTTATCACCGATTTCAATAGCTTTATTAGGTTTCACTGCGGTAAGGTTGTTCCGGAAAGCTTCGCCTCTGTTGGTGGAGTTGGGTTGTCGAGTGATGAGAACGGGGTTAGGGGAGATGTGACTAATGAGGTTTTGGGTGAGGAGGGCCTGCCGTTGAATGGGGTTGAAGTTGATCGGCCGAAGAAAGTTTTGATTTTGATGAGTGATACTGGTGGTGGTCACAGAGCTTCGGCGGAAGCCATTAAAGCTGCATTTAATCAGGAGTTTGGAGATGAGTACCAGGTTCGTCCTGACATTTCCAATTGATTAATGGGTTTCACTTTTTAGATTTGTACAAAATTGTCGTTACAGTTCTGAAGTTTGTCTTTGGCTGCTAAGAGAAATGGGGGGTAGCTTGGAGAATCTATATTCTTCTATTAGATTCAGTGTCATCGTAAGTTTGTAGTCAGGTTTAGATTTTTTTCCTGAATTAGAGAAATTTAAGCTTCTAGATGTTTGGTTCATGTAAGTAGATGAGTGTGAAACTGACTTTAGATTAAATTTGGTTCTTGGAATAATCAACCAAATACATTGAAAGTCTCAATCTTGGGTAGTTTAAGTAGTGTGAGCCATTGTTGATTTTGTTCCATTCATTAAGAGTGCTTGCGCAGGTGTTTATTACGGATTTGTGGACAGATCATACACCCTGGCCGTTCAACCAGCTTCCCCGGAGCTATAATTTTTTGGTGAAACATGGAACTCTGTGGAAAATGACTTATTATGGTACAGCTCCACGCGTTATTCATCAATCTAATTTTGCAGCAACTTCGACTTTTATTGCCAGGTAAGGATTAAGGTCTATAGTTTGGAATAATTCATCTTTCTGTTCAAACTTTTCCTATAAGAAGATTTTGATAAAGAGTTCTTAAGTGTATGTATGACAGAGGGGCATCAAATTTTAACCTACAGCTTTCGTTGGTCTTTGCTTCTCTTATGGAATTCTGTCATGTCTTTTTCTTCTCCAGTCTGACACCGTTGTTTTAAATACTTTCAGGGAAATCGCCCAAGGGTTAATGAAATATCAACCAGACATCATAATCAGTGTTCATCCATTGATGCAACATGTCCCACTTCGTGTCCTAAGATCAAAAGGCTTGCTTAAGAAAATCGTCTTCACCACGGTTATTACAGACTTGAGCACTTGCCATCCCACATGGTTAGTATCAAATTCTTCATTTGTAAAGGTCTATATGCTCTTTTGTAAAAACAAAGTTACAACATGCTTGTTTTTATGTTTAGGTTTCATAAGCTCGTGACAAGATGTTATTGCCCATCAACAGAAGTGGCAAAAAGGGCGCAAAAGGCAGGACTTGAAACATCACAAATCAAAGTTTACGGCCTTCCTGTTCGACCTTCTTTTGTGAAACCAGTTCGCCCAAAGGTCAGTTTGGAAAGATTCCCTTACTAGCTGTTCTTTGTTGCTTCAGTCATATCCAAGTGTAATAGTATCTTTCCGGAATATCACAGGTAGAACTAAGAAGGGAGCTAGGGATGGATGAGAATCTTCCAGCTGTGTTGTTAATGGGCGGTGGAGAAGGGATGGGTCCCATTGAGGCAACAGCAAGAGCACTTGCAGATGCTTTGTATGACGAGAACCTTGGTGAAGCAGTAGGTCAGGTTCTTGTAATCTGTGGACGGAACAAGAAACTACAAAGCAAATTAAGCTCCTTAGATTGGAAAATCCCAGTCCAGGTACTCTACACTTCTGACCCTTCATACCAAAGCCGGAATCTTAGACACTCGATGTAAGTCGCTGAAACAGAGTTTCTTTATCTCATAGGTGAAGGGGTTTATAACGAAAATGGAGGAATGTATGGGTGCCTGTGACTGCATCATAACAAAGGTAAAGCGAACAGAACCAAATTGTTACGTTCTCAAAGCGGAGACCTGGATTGAACATTCCCACTCTCTCTTGTACCTGTAAAACAAGAGTGATCCTAGAATGATTGTATCTTTGTTAATGTTTGTCACTTGGGCTTGTGCAGGCTGGTCCAGGCACTATAGCTGAAGCTATGATAAGAGGGCTACCGATAATCTTGAATGGTTACATCGCTGGTCAAGTAAGTTCCACTCTAAAGGCAGTCCCATTTTTTTATGCTAACTTCAGGTTTTCAATTTTTGGGGGGTTATGATTTTGAGCGCAGGAGGCAGGGAATGTGCCGTACGTGGTGGAGAACGGATGTGGGAAATTCTCAAAATCGCCAAAAGAGATATCAGAGATCGTAGCAGATTGGTTCGGACCAGCATCAAGAGAGTTAGAGATAATGTCACAGAATGCGTTGAGGCTGGCTAGACCAGAAGCAGTGTTCAAAATAGTGCACGATATGCACGAGCTGGTCCGACAAAAAAATTGTCTTCCTCAGCTCTCTTGCACTGCCTAATATATATGTTGTAACTCTATTCATTCAATCACTCCAATCTTCTTCCTTTTTTGGTTCTTAGACAAGAGTCTAATACATGATGTATTCAAAGTAGTATTTATTTTTGCCCTTAGTGCTAAGTGCCAACAATAATCATGTCCGATTTATTCACTTTAATAATGATCAGTAATAATATAATTAAATTCCTAATTATGGAGATTCATCTATTACAACTACAAAAACGACATTGTTTCATTAGATTAAAGAAAAAATAGACAGCACGATTTAGGTAAAAAAACAAAAAACAAAAAGGGTTTTGAGTTTGACCTTCTTCTCTACTTGGCCGCTCTCTGAGGTTTATCGAGTGACAGAGCCTTTGCTTTCCCAATTTTTCAACGCAATCTATCAGGTAAAGTTCGACTTTTTTTAATCGTTCAGTCTAATGGATTTGTTGAATTCTTTGATTTATTCAGCTACTTATTTTTCTGATTCTGTTGGTGTAAGCAATAGATGATCTTTTCCTTAGATCTAAGTTCATCAACTGTTCCTTGTGCTTCTGTTTTTTTTTTTTTTTTTAAGGTTTCATATTGTTTCATGTGACTATCTGATGGAGAGGTTAATTCATCTTTGATTGCTGTTGTCAGAGAGGAAGAAGAGTAGTAGCAGAGATGTTGTACATTATAGGATTAGGTTTAGGAGATGAAAAAGACATAACTTTGAGAGGACTCGAAGCTGTTAAGAAATCTCAGAAAGTATACATGGAAGCTTACACTTCTCTTTTGTCCTTTGGTCTCTCTGCTGATGGTCTTTCCAATCTTGTAAGACTCTCAAAATCCCCTGATTTAGATTCACTACTTTCCTAGTTTTCTTATTTAAAGGTATTTCTTTTTTTTTGTCCTCAGGAAAAGTTTTACGGGAAACCAATTATACTTGCTGATAGAGAAATGGTGGAAGAAAAGGCTGGTGATATGATTGAAGAAGCTGTTGATAATGATATAGCTTTTCTCGTTGTTGGTGATCCTTTCGGGTACATAATCCGAGCTTTATCAGTGTCTTAGTTTATAATTTTATAGCTAATGTAGTTAGTTAGATACTATACAGTTTATTTTTGGGATTTATGTCTGATATGGTTGTTGTTTTGCTGGAAATTGAATTTGCAGAGCTACAACACATAGTGATCTTGTTGTTCGAGCTAAGACACTTGGTGTGAAAGTAGAGGTAGTGCACAATGCTTCGGTGATGAATGCTGTTGGGATTTGTGGCCTGCAGCTTTACCATTATGGAGAGACTGTTTCAATCCCGTTCTTCACCGAGACTTGGAGACCCGATAGCTTTTATGAGAAGATCAAGAAAAACCGGTCTCTTGGACTCCATACTCTCTGTTTGCTAGATATCCGAGTGAAAGAGCCGACTTTTGAATCTCTTTGCAGAGGAGGGAAGAAACAATACGAACCACCCAGGTATATGACTGTTAATACAGCGATTGAGCAGCTTCTAGAAGTTGAGCAAAAGCATGGTGATTCAGTTTATGGTGAAGACACAGAGTGTGTGGGCTTTGCACGGCTTGGCGCTGAGGACCAGAAGATAGTTGCAGGGACTATGAAACAACTCGAGAGTGTTGATTTTGGGGCACCGTTGCATTGTCTTGTGATAGTAGGCAAGACTCATCCCGTGGAAGAAGAGATGTTAGAGTTTTACAAATACTAAAGTGCAGATTCAAAAAAGACCACAAAAAACGAAAGAAAAATCTTATCTTTGCTCGATTGCAAAGCTTCAAGGCGGAGAAAGTGGTGGAGATGTTACTTTGAGGAAGAGATTGAAACTATGGAACCGATAGGTTTTCACACTTTTCTTCATTTTTGTTTACTTTCGTTGGTTTTGATGTTACATAAGCATAACTATATGATGTGACTTCGAATATGAGACTGAAAGGTGGATATTGAAATATATTTTTTGGTTATGGTATGAGGCACTTTGTTTAAGAGAGAATTACATTTTAGGATTTGCATATGCTTTGGTTTGAGGATCCAAAAGTCAGAAGAGAACTCGTTTCAGTTTGTTTTTGTTCGGTCCAGTTCTTGTGGATTTTGACTTTAGTATTAAGTATTAACAGTTAAGGTTGAACCCTTAACCTCCTCCTGTCCCTAACTCCTGAGATTAGATTTTTGTTGGTCCTTAGAACTGAGAAAATTTTGTAAACGTCGGTTTAATCAAAATTTCTATCAAGCAAGCATAAAATACAATCAAACACCAAACTTGTCCAATTTTTCCAAGTGTAGAATATGGGTGGATTCGGGATATTGGTCCCAATGAAGACCACAACTTTAAAAAAGATTAAATCGTGACTTTTTAACAGTTCCACTCCAAGTCATTTTAAAATTTGACAAGTAAGCCTTCTAACAACAGAAAAGAAAACACAAGACTGTTATGTATAAGTGTGATGCACAAATGATGACGTACGATCACTTGCGTAGCTGAGGCTGACGGAACACGCATAGCTCATCACTACCGTTCAAAAAAAGACGCATGCATGGAATATTATGTTAGGCTAAAAGTCCCATGACTTTTTGGAGCAACTAGTCTTGTAGTTTTACTTACTTAGCTTACTCATATCCCATTTGGTCCATTTTCTATTAGTTAGTTTCTGAAATCCCCACTCTAATTACATATATTATTTGTTCCATTTGGTTTTAACTTTTAAGTTAGCTTGACTCATATCGACCCAAGTCTTTCTTAAAGATATTTTATCATATGTGGTTGTTACGCGGTGAAAGTTTTTTTAGTGTTTGGTCGTACACATTAATTAATAGCATAGACTTACGGTTCAACGTTTTTTCTTTGGTTATAAGATGGTTTTAAGCAATTCAGGCATTCTAACATAATCTGTACAGTACCCATATCTGCTGAAGCCTTTTATTTAAATTCACAATTACATAAATCTATCATAACAGCTCTTAGTAATGATCCAAAAATTTGATCTATTATAGAAGTTGACCAAGTAACGCTAGCAATTTAATTTTACCGGTTAAAGATACGGTCGAGTTTATATAAAAAGTCGAATAAAACAAATATTATCCTGATCAAAAAATTGGTTTAGTCTCCGATATGAAGAAATAGTAATAAATTTATACGTACGACTGATGAGAAACTCAAAAATTCGAAAATGATTTTCAGAACGTGTGAAGTCATTCAAATTTTTCTATGTTTTTCTCTGTTGGAAGTTAATTTTCTTGTTTGGTTGAACTATTCAAGGAGAGTTTAGTTTCGTCTTCGTGAAACAAAAGACAAAAACAAAAACGTTACTTACTGGATCATGCATGATGATTATAGCTAGGTGCATCCTAAGTAATGACGTCATAATGGTGACGTCGTCATGTTGGAATATATATCCGAGACCGCGAGAGAGAGAATTCGAGTTTTAGACGACGACTTAAGAATATATATGGTCTAGTCTTTATATTATATAAAACTTTTGTGATTTTGTTTCCATCCTTAATGATATATATGCAGTACTTGTTTAATTAACTTTTTCCATGACCCCTGTAACTAGCTAGTTTTCTTCACTAACCATTAAAATTATATTTGCTGCTCCTCTATTCTTAACAATATCCAGCATGACCTAAATATAAGTTTATTGTTCGTCAACTGGTAAAGCGATATAGTATCCACTTTGCTTAGGACCAATACACATTATTGTAGTAAAGAAGTCTTGGTTTAAATTTCAGTAACGAACCTCGCTACTCGATCGCTAGTGATATGAGAAATTTCTATTTGGTCAGCGAACAGGTCGTTCCATATATGTATCCTCCTCAATCTTAAATTTAAAAAAACGGTTTAGTAGTAATTAAGAATATTAATTTGTTACATATATCACACATAATGCATATATTTGTTACATATATCACACATAATACATACAGTATATTAATCTGTTTGGTTTTAATTTGGCAAAAAGTTATGGTTTTCAATAAGAAAGGGAAACAAGGCTACAGGGTGTTCTGTAATAACATAGCTCCCTGCATGATCCGTATCTCTTGAAAGGCCTTTCCACACTTAGCGCCTATCCGTTCGTTAGAAGAACGTATTCCTTTAGCAACTCGTATAAGGAAGCATTCCCAAAGAAAAAGACATACGTTTGAACATCTGAATTTAACAATAATGTATATATATACACACATATATTGCGCATTTGGTCTGAGAAAAAAAAGAGGAAGAAAGATTTGATTCATAATTAAGTTTTAAATTAGTTAAGAGTAGAAGAAGAGTCGCGTAGCTAGGGTGGGTAACAACTAACAAGTTTGAATCATTCTAATATAGGAGGATTCCGTCTCAATCCGAATTGACAACGTGCATCAATAAAATGGAAACACACTCGACTACCAGATGCTAAGAATCTCAAAATATCAAAATGAATCGATCTTTCTAAATTTGTCATGGTAAAAACAGTGGTTAAGTATTTTTGTATCCTAGTGTACATACTTTTGAAAGAAACTGGAATAATTAAAAGATGACACTAAAATCTCAACTTTGAACAAACAAACAAAGGAAGAAAGAAGAAAAAGAGGAGGTCGGTGTCGGAGCCGCCCAAGGTGGCAACTTGTTCACACACACAAACAACAATCAATCCAAATAAAAGTAGAAATACACTAATAATCAATAAGGCCTATCTCAACTCTCATCTCTCAACTCACACAAGTTGGAAGTCACGGTCGAGTCCGGTCAAGATTTTGTTGCCCTTTTCCCGTGTGGGCTCTCTCTTTGTCTTTTTTTTTTCCACCCCAAATAATAAAAACTTCCACGTTTTTGTTTTTCTTTCACTCTCCTTTTTTTCTTTTTTTTTTTCTTTTCTAATCTTTTTGTCGGCTAATATTTATAATGTTTTCTGTTTACCATATTTTCCGCGATAAATCTTTTTTATTTTTACTGACTTGATATATATTATATATATCACACCATGTGATTGGTCGCTTTTTCCCAAGTATTAAATAAAAGGATTAAAAACCAATAGTACTAAAAAGATATGAATCATTTTTTGATCAAATATGATTATGAACAAACTAGAAAGGACAACTTAATCGCAATGAGCAGTACTGATCGATGATCCTAGTGCATTTTTATATAGTTGTTGAAGCTTTAGTGTATATTTTTGATAAGCGATAGAAAAAAATAAAATAATTGCCGACCTCAAAAAAAAAAGGAACAATGAGAGAGTAGTCATATAGGGTCAAGCAAGTCAAGGGAAAGTTCCTAACTGTTTGTATGGTCATTATGAATCTCGACAAAATAAAATAAAAATAATCAAAAGGATACTAAAGAAACACGGATCCTCCTCCTCCTACCATATTTTTTTATTTTGAATCATTATTATTTTATAAGTATGACGTACCAATTCTTTTCTTCGAGCATGGGGACACTTCCGCCGAAATTATTGAATTAATTTTTTTCCTATCAAATTCTCTCTTTTTTTTTTTAATTTTTTTTTTCTTTGTAACAAATTCTATCGTTTATTTTTGTAGTTTGTTTTTTTTGGATCAAAGCTTGTTGAAAGTTTCAAGGCTTTGGACGGTATTTCAGCTTTTCTAATAATTTTCGGGTTGTTTTGTCAAAGGTACACTAATAAACTGTCACTAATAATTAATAAAGCAAAAAATAAACGAAAAGATGTCCCTCTTTTTATTAGAGAAATTATCATAACTAAATGGTTATTATTAAAAGATGTTACTACAAAACAAAACCGTCGGTTCCAAAGAAAAAACAAAAAAATAGAAAGAGAAATGTAGCTCCTTTTATATAGTACGTAATACCTTTTTGAAAAATACGTAAAACAAAAGTACACTATAGAGATGATTACGACAGTAAAAACAAAAAATAAACGCATAAGTAAAAAGGGTTTAACTCAGTTCAGAATGTTTTACACAGCTTTTCTTTAGCCAATCACTTGTGTGTGATTTATTAAAATAGACAGCTTTTTATGTCCTCTTGTTTAATGTCTTCTGGTCTTTATAAGAAGACAGCTTTTTTTCTTTCTTTTTTTTTTAAAAAAATTTTAGATTTATCTTCTTCACTTTCCAACGACTTTCCTTCCTACACATCCAAAACCTCTTTCTTTCTTATCGTACTACTTACACATCCATTTTTTTTTTCTTTTTAATACAAAATACATTTATAATAAAAGTACGTCATTCATTATAATTTTTTTTTTTTTTTGGGTTAAAAGCTCTTTGTATAAATCATGATAATTATTCCTTTATAACTTTGTTTGTTATAACTTATAACACAATGATAAACCTTTGATTTATGCCCTTGTGCTACGATTATCTTTGGTTTTTGTTTATGCAATTTTGTTTTACCCACGCTATAATTAAACTATATACAGATAATTAGAGTGATATGATATCATTATTCTCCTTTAAGAAAAAAAAGAATTATTTAGTTTTTATTAAATAAAAAATTAAATGTCTGTGCAACACCTAATTAAGTTTCAACTCTGTATCTGTATAAATAAAGGCATGTTTCTATGGGCAAATTCTCATTCACTCGGACCAACTTGTGACCGAAGAAAGCAAATTAAGACTTAAGTCTCTCTACGCACCCAACCAGCCCCTTTTGGTCTGTATCTTCGTCTTCGTTCAGACAACTTCAAACTCTTCTCTTAATGGATTGTTCTTCGTTTCTCGATCTCAACACCAATCCTTTCCCTGAAATGCTTCCGGTGAGTCCCTCCGGATTTCGTCTGAATCTAAGTTCATTTTATTCTTTTGTTTCCCATTCAGTTTCTGTGGTAACTAATTCATGGGGTTCGTTTCGTATTTCAGAAGAAGGAGGCCTCGGTTTCGGCTTCCACTCATTTTAAAAGGAAATGGTTGGAGCAAGACGAGGTTAGTTCTTTCGTCGAACACTTGGTGTGCGTGTTGTTACCTTCGACACTTGACTTTTTGATTCATTTACTGTAAATTCATCACTATGATCGATGACGATGAGTCACACTTGTTGGAACAAGTTTTCAGCTTTTAATGATTCTTTTTTTTTAACTCCCACCGATCAATTAAGATGGATCTGAATTTGTAACTCTGGGTATTTCTTATATACAGTATTGTGTCGAAATTAATCAGTGATGATGATAATTTGACAATCAATTCGTTGTTTGGGGAACATTAGTAATTGGATCTTTATTATGTTGATGAACAGAGCGCAAGTGAGTTAAGAGAGGAGCTAAATAGAGTTAACTCAGAGAACAAGAAGCTAAATGAGATGCTAGCTACGGTCCATGAGAACTACTGCGCACTACGTCATCAGTTGGAGAAGCTTCAGAGTCGACAGAGCCCTGAGATCAGTCAGACCGAACAACCGATAAAGAAGAGAAAACAAGACCCGGATGAGTTCTTAGGCTTTCCCATTGGACTCAGTAGTGGAAAAACTGAGAACAGCTCCAGCAATGATGATCAACAGCAGCAATACGAGCAGAAAAATCAGCTTATCTCATGCAAAAGACCAGTCACTGATAGCTTCAACAAAGCCAAGGTTTCGACTGTCTACGTGCCTACTGATACATCGGACACAAGCTTGGTAAGCGATTTTGTCTAAATCTTTTGATTAGAGAGACATGTTTTAAGGGAACTTTGTCTTTGAATATTTTCCTAGAGGCATGGGGGTTTGTGGATGTTTAATGAGAGTGTTGTTTTGCAGACAGTAAAAGATGGATACCAATGGAGGAAATACGGACAAAAGGTTACAAGAGATAACCCCTCACCTAGAGCTTACTTTAGATGCTCATTTGCGCCGTCTTGTCCAGTCAAGAAGAAGGTAATTTGACACACTTTGAGTTGGATATCTTTAGCAACATTTGTAATAGTTTCAGCTGTCTAAATGAGCTGTGGTTTGTGGTGTTGCTGTTCAGGTACAACGCAGCGCAGAGGATCCGTCTTTACTGGTAGCAACATACGAAGGAACGCATAACCACTTGGGTCCAAACGCTTCCGAATGTGATGCTACAAGCCAGGGTGGGTCAAGCACTGTGACTTTGGATCTAGTCCATGGTAGTCATAGATTAGCTTTGGAGAAGAACGAAAGGAATACGATGCAAGATGTTCTGGTTCAACAAATGGCGTCCTCATTAACTAAAGATTCAAAATTTACAGCTGCCCTTGCTGCTGCAATATCTGGGAGGTTGATGGAGCAATCTAGAACATGAAAGTTCCAGTGAATGTTTTGTTTGTTTATCATCCCTGGGAAAAGAATGAGTTTTTCCTCTTTTTCTGAATCGTATCTTTCGATCAGGAGATTAAAAAAGAAAATGTAAACTTTAGTCTTTAGTGTACATAAACATTATAAGTACATGAAATCACAAGTGTATTTGAGAAAATTTAAATGTTGGTAATAGTTAGATGAACATTGATTCGTCTGAATTTATGAAAATCTTGTCCCATAGAAACATATGAATTGAATGCTTTATGACTGCAAAATAATTGCAAATAGTGTTTAAGAAGGGTCACCATAAATTTCAATCACAATTGTTCTCAATTATTTGGGATTTGGAGTCACTAGAGACTAAGAGGCTGTATTTGTTTAAAGTTATAAAACCTTTGCTTTACTTAGTTTGTCATACTATATAGTATATCCTTTTAATATTTGTGATTTTTTTAAGTTGGTAGGCATTACAATGATTGAGAAAAAAGAAGCAATGATTGAAGAAGAAGATTTCTACAAACGAAAAAATTCAAAAATGAGGACAAAATCAAGTTTCCCTCCACACATGACTCTGCAACTCTCGTGATTCTCATTTATTTCCTCTCCCCATCTGTTCATCGCTCTCTGTTACGACTCCGTCCCACCATTATCAATGTCAACCCGATCTCGGTCCCTCCTACCTTTTAAATCTCGTCTCTTGTTCCAGACCCACAAATCCATGAGCACTCGTTTCTGTTTTCTCTTGGCTTTTCAATGGAAGCCAATGGTCACTCGCGGCGGAGGAGGGGGGATGGGTGCACTGTCGTGGAGTGTTATACGCCTCGGAAGGTCGTGGGCAGGTGGCTTTCTGGGTTGAGAAGTTCCAAGGGGAAGAGAGAGATAGGAGAAGAAGATGAAACCAGAGGATACGAATTACCGCCCATAAGATGTTCGACGAAACGCCTGAACCAAAATACGCAGGAGACTAATAGATTTGGTGAGAAGTTTGTATTTTTCTTCTTCCTACGCTTTTACTTCTCTGGAATTATAATACTAATGAGCAAGAGTATTCAACTGTAGGATTGACTTTAGAATTTGACATTGCATTGAAGGGGTTGGATTTCTTAGGGATTGTCTTTGGTGGGTTATGTTTATACACTTATACTTGATTTTGCTTTTTGCAGAATCACAGAGCAGAGAAGCACCTTTAGAAATGGGAATTGGTTCCTTTTTACTCTATCTTGTTGTTGCAAGCAAAACTGAGCTTGACAAGATGACAAACCTGCGAATGGAGATGGAGATGTTTCTTCTAAATGCAAAAGAAGAACTACAGAAGAAAGAACTACAGGCAAATCCACCTATGTCTTCGAATGAAACAAGCGGCTACCAGTTGTCTCCTCAAGAATTCTCGAATCTTGCGTCATCCATTTTCCAAGAGTCATCGACGAGCGTTCTTCAAGAGGAGTACACAGAATTCGAGGTCTCAAAACCCGAGGATCACTATCGAGGACCAGACCGCAACTCAAAACTTCAGGCTGAGGTAGGTAGGTTGCCTCTGGATGAAAAAGCAGAGAATAGACACACAAAGTATCAGATTCTGAGAGAAGGCAAACTTAAAGTATCCCAAAAAAAACCTCTTTTGTCTTCTTACATTTCCTTTGAACCTTTTAAGCAACTATGAAACAGGTTCTTTATTTCTAAGACTTGTAGTTCTTTTGGTCTTGTAGGGCAATGAGGTAGGGATGGTGGTTACCGATGAACGATATGGAGTGTGTCCATTTGAACTAGAGAAAAAACTGCATGAACTACTGGAGACAAGGCAACAAGAAGAGTTACTGAAGCTTGAGACTGCTCTGAGTCGTGTTGAACGTAGACTTCAAGAGAAAGAAACAGAGATTTCATGGTGGAAAGATGCAGCCCGCCTGCTTGCTCAGCGTGTTCCTGAGTCTTCTCGATCTGGACTAGAATGGTGCAACCCAGACTCTTCCACATGTTCAGAACGATCTGTTCCAAGATCTTATAAAGCATGCTCTAAACACCGCACCAGTTTTTCTAGATGATGAATCCTTTAAGTGTTTAGTGTCTAGAATTTCTGTTATAGCGTTTGTCTGAAGTGTTCTTAAACGATTATGTGAAGTTCGCTTGTAGTTAAACAAGTTGCCACTGTCCCTGTTTTGGTGCATGTATGCTACCTAAATATCACTACTCAGGGTAGGAATTGCACTCTTTCTGTATTCAATCAAGCTTATTTTATAATTCTACACTATGGCCTTCAACATTATAATGGAATCTTCTCACAGAAGATGAACAAACAAATTATCACAGGACAGTTATAGAAACTTGACACTCCTAATTAAGAAGATAAATTGCACCCAAGGGTATAAACAGAGTTTGACAGCAAAAGGTCACTGCATGGATCTCATTTAAGCATAGACCGGTGGAATCCTTTATTGCAGGTAAGGAGTATCAGTAGATTCCTCAGAAGAACGGCTCTCGTTGGGCTGTTGGAAGCTTCAGCTCAGAATCTAAACCATCAATCTCTGTAACAGGCGAGAAGTAGCAATCCACCATGTCTTTGCTAACGTCTTCCAGGCGTGGAGGATCCCACTGCAAAAAAAATTGGAAAAAAAGAAAAAGTTCTCATAAAGTAAAACCTGGAACATGAACATAAGCAAAAGGAGTTCCAAACGTCTAGTTTTAAGGCTAATCTTTTGTACGCACCTTTGGAGCAAAGTCTTTGTCCACCAAACGGGCTCGAATTCCCTAGCAACAGCAAAAAAATTCAGTATATGCATATAATAATGCTTTAATTGAGGGGCCGGTGATGGATTTTACCTCACAAAAGTCGCCAGAGACTGTCTTTGCAACTCCACAACGAGATATACGGTATTCGCGTGTGAGACACTGATCAAGAGTTTGGAATCTACCTTCTCGTACCTAAGAATAGAAGAAATCTTAAGTATCAGAAAAATGAGATGCTTTTGGAGAAAGGGAAGAAGAAACTTAAAGGACTCACAGATTGCAAAGTAATCTTTAAGCTCAAAGGTGAAGCGTCTTTGATTTGTCTGAGAGTTTTCTTGCACCATTCATTGCAAGAACTAGCAGCCTCATTTTCCTGAGCCATGGGTAAACAAAAAAGTTTAGAACTTGACAAACTCTCAAGCCAGGCCAATGAAGAGTGCTCAATTAAATCATGTCATGCATACACTAGAAAATTATCTCTTACCATAGCCTCAATGATTTCTTCAACTGTATCAAGCCCAAAATATCTATCAATCATCTCAATCCTGACAAAATAACTTTCTGGTTACACGATGGTGGGACATTCAAAGAGATTTGAAGACACAGAGACTAGGTAAGAGATTTACTTGTGCAGTACACTGCTATTGTCAGGGTAAACAAGATCACCATATTGAGCAAGAGAATCCTCAATGACGGTAGGATCATCGCTCAACAGTTTACCAATCCTCTCTTCGATCAACGGAAGTCTCTGCCACAACAACTAACATAAGGAACGCATTTAAGAGGAATAATCAAAACATGAGACAAGGTACGAAAATTGCATCAAACCGCATTTAAGCAATAGTGGGTGGCAAGACCACATGCTATCATATCGACACCATTAAGTTTCTGCCCTGTTAGAGCCAAGTATTCCCCTGAACAAGAAAACACCGCTTCAGAAAACCAAAACGTTGCATTTAAACATTTGTATGCCAGTCAGATTCTGATCTAGAATTTGACCATCATTTTACTACTTAGATATGCATAGAATATGATCTAGTGAAGACATCAGCCAAAGGTAACGTTCACCTAAATAACCAGGAAGTCGTGAAAGGTAATAGGAAGCTCCTGCATCAGGATGAAAACCAATTTGGACCTCTGGATGGGCCAACACCTGCATACGCACAGTTCTTCAGAACACCTTTAGCACCAAAAGTTTCAAAGTTTCGCGAGAAGGGACCGTTTACACAAAGAGAAAGGTGCTACTGATAACTGACTAAGACAACAGCATATTTAATATACACAGATAATGGTGTGAACACCAGCTGATAGATTTAACTTATTTTCTTGAGTGACTGTAGGACCTTGTAAACCAGCCAATAGAATCTATTTCTTTTATTACAGCGTCCACCCACACTAAAAACCAATGATTTGTAATAATAAATCGAGCCACATACAGTTTTATCTGTAGCCACGCGAAACATCCCTGGAATTGAAATTCCACCACCACAACCCATAGTTACACCATCCATTATAGCTATCTGCAGTAAGATAAAACTCTTTAGGTATAAGAGCAGAAAAAGAAAAAATCAAATAGTAAAACCGTTGCATCTTATCTCCCAAAATCAACTTCATATATTGTTGAGTGGAGCAAATAAAGCTGGTTCTAGCTCTTTCTAATCACTTGTGGTCATTCAAACCAATCCCATTTAGTATTAACACATATCATCTACAGAAAGTCTACGAATCTCACATTTGGTTTCAAATATGTTCCTTGGAGGTATACAAACTTGTACAAGTTCTCGAGAAAAAGATTACATTCTTCAGTATTCCCTGTCCAAAAAAAAGTGGCAATCTATTAGCAATTCTTCTCAGTAACTTCACCAGATTAAGCTGGTGAAAGGGATATGGAATAGCTAGCCCTGAACCTCAAAAAAAACTTTCCAGGTATCTAACAATGAAAAAAACTAGAAGATATGGACCTTCATTGACCGAGTGATAAAGAGGCAAGACATCTGCACCAGAACAGAACGTTTTGCCGCTACCCTTCAGGGAAATAATCAACGAATCCCAAAAGAACACATGAGAGAATGTTGTATAACCATGTACCAAAAGAACACATGATCTATTGAGCATTTGCAACGAATCTCATAACTGAAACTAGAGAAAGTATCATACCTTCATCAAAACAAAGGAAATAGCTGGGTTCTCTTCCCATGATTCGTATAGCCTAGTTAACCGACTTACCTAAAAAGGACGAACAAACATTGATGCAAAACTAAAAAATCCAAAATGAGCTCAGGAAACCAGACTTGAAAATCCAAGAAGAATACAATGCTAAAGACAATACCATAGGGGCAGAAAGAGCATTGAGAGAAGAGGGGCTATTGAGAATGGCAGCTCTTGATTTAGCTTTTCCTTCCACCAGTACCTTCAATTACAGCAACATCCACACTTAGATATCTCTCAAATTGAAATTTTTTTTTAAAAAGGAAGTAGATTTCATTTACACTTGCGGAAAATCAAATGATGAGATTCCCCATTTACGATCAAATAAGATAAAATGTTCAAGAGTTACACAAACAGACTATGAAATCAAGCACATTTAGGGAAGATCCAAAACTAAGAAGAAGAAGATAACAAAAATAACCTGGTCTTCAATATCGGCATCTGATGCGGAATAGTTTGGGAGAGCAGAAAAGTTTCTTCCATAATAAACGGACCGAACCCATTGTAAGGGTTCAGTCACTCTCCTCAAAGCTTTCACTGTTTGCATCTCTCTCACTCTCTCTGTGTCGCTCCGTCGAGAAGACGTCTCTGTGTTCCGAGGGTTTTGGGTTTTGGCTCTCAACTTATGGCCGGCGGCGATTCCTAGCCGTCAGATCAGATTACTCGACAATGGAAATGAACGTAAGATCACTTATTGGCCCTAGATTGAGCCCATAAGGCCCAATATATCACACCTCAATGTCCCACTTCATAACTTAGATCTGTTTTTGGATTATAGAAAGCAAATAGAAGAATGTTAACAATGTTCAAGAATAAAATCATATCGAAACACTATCCACTTCCGCATCCGAAACATAAGTACATAACGAATGTTTAGTTGATGATGTTGCAAGGATTAATAAAACATTACGATGTTCTCAACTACCAAATAATACTGTTAACAAATCTTTACGACTAAAGAAACACAGAACACAACTTCATCAGTTTTAATATAAACTACCACAAACCCTAAAACCACTTATAAATACGTTACAGCCATTAATAGCTTCACTTTACAAATTTTGATTCTCCCCACTGCTTTTTCACGATATGGAATGTCTGCGGCGGCGGGAAGACGAGCTTGACGACTTTGCCGGTGGACTTTGCGAGCTTCCAGACGAAACCTCAGAGCTCTTGTTGCTACTCTCTCCTTTTCCCGGCCATATCTTCTCAAAGATCCTCCTTGACCTCGATGGCATCAGCTGTGCGCCACCACCACTCCTCGTGCTCTTGCTTCCTCTGCTTTTCTTGCTCAGCTCCACCTTCTTTGCCACTTTTTGTCCTTTGTTCTCTTCTGTCTTCTCAACCGGCGATTGCGACGAAGCTGCAACAGACGCGACTGGGCTATGATTTGCTCGGAGCTGCTCAAAGTAAAGAACTTGTACCACCACTCGCAATGGAAGTCGCTCGTTCTGTGCAGCGTGAGTTGATGCCTCGTTCGTCAGTTTCCTCACGTCCATTAGCCCGCAAAGTCTCTTCTTTTCGGATTTCGTTAGTTCCGGATGTTCCTACAAAAACCAACTTCACAGATTATTAAATTGTCCGGAAAGTTACATTCTTTCCAGAAACAAGAACGTCTGAAAATGTTCTTATATACATACCTTCATGAAAGTGTCAATGGCTTTGTAGAGACCATCGTGAATCGGCCTAGCTGATTCGGGTATTAGCTCAGATAACTCGACGAAGCTAGAGAGCGTAAGATCAGAGCAATGTGCGAGATAAGCGTCAATCAATCTTCCTACGCTCAACAAAATCCCGTTTCCTAAAACAAACTCCTTGTACCGATCATCTTCAGACACACGTTTCTCATCAGCCATGAACTGATCAACAATCCGATGGACTAATTCTACTTCGTGGATCAGCAAATCCTTAACCGAGGCCTCATGCAGCTTCAAGCTCACGTTTTCAACCAAGTCTTCTTGCACAGTCCCATCAGCTCCAACCAAAATAGAAACTTTAAGGAGTTTCAGCAAGAAGCTGCAAGAAGAGTAGCTCATCGCTCTGTTTACTCTTGGCAACAAGAAAACAACAGTCTCAACAAGATGTTTGTTTGAAGAAGCTTCTGCTGTTAAAGACTCCATAGATTCTGGTAACCACCTTGCAACATAGTATCTAAGTGCTTCAGCAATTACACCATTGTTCATCCTTCCACTCGATTTCACAACGCTCATCACCCGCTCAAACATATCAATATCAAGCTCACATACATCTTCGACCCACCAATCTTTTGGAATCACATTCTCTTCTCTCTTCTCCCGATGATACTCGACTATCTTATCAGGTCCAGATAACTTCCTGTTGTGTGTATAAGACCAAGTGATCGTCTCAGGATTCACCAATATCTTAGCTGAAACAGAATCCATGCATCTACATACAAGCTTCAGATCTTCAGACCAAGGAAGGAGAGATCTAGTTGTCTGAAGCACAATGATTGAGTCTTTCCAGCTTCTGAATATGCCAGAATTAAGGAAAACCTCAATCTTGTATATGAGATTACCGCGATCAGCATCTTCAGTCATTTCAAGATACTCAGCTGCACATCGCACAGCGGTTATGTTGTAAGCATTGAGCGTAACTGTCATGCCATAGCAAAACTTTGCACAGATCTCAAACGCTTTGTGTCCTCCAGGCATGTCTAGTATAGTGATCACATTGGTTTCTTCTTCACTTGCCTCAATAACCAGTCTCTGCATCCGATTGCTCTTCGATAGCAGCGGGAACTGAAAATGTAACATTACAGCATAAGAAATACATCTTGCATTACAATTGTACCACTTAAGAATCCATCAGTAACAACTTCTGGTGTTAGCATTACAAAACTGTACCTTGTGGAGGTGAAATGTGACATCGCCAACATGAATAGTAACATCGCTGTCTAGATCCGAAACAGCATACCTGTGGGGAAGATATTAATGGTCAGATAAACATTGAGACCAAGAGCACAATCATCTTAAATAAGAACTCTACAGATTAAGTAGTTAAAACTCCTTTCTTGAACATTTTAGATGTTAAGTCTCAAATACCTAGATAATCATTACTTTTAACAAAGAAACAAGATTCTTAGCCTAGTTTAGAATATCCAGATGTCATAACTTGGAAGAGATGTCTTATATATTTACAGAAACAAAGCACAAGTAACAAAAGTAAAGAGAGATTCTTCACTTTCTAAATTAGAAGAAGACTCATAATCATCATTCCCTTTTGCTTTCCACTCTTTGATCTTACAAATCAGGACCACAAAACAACAACACATAAACAAAGACAGATCATCTAATGGATGGACCACTCCTGAAACTCATATACCCCATTTACTGTTACTTCTCTAGCCTTTTTCTTTGTGGTATTTCCCGCAAAAAAAAAAATGATGAGTGAAACCAATCACAATAATGGTGATGATGATGAAAAACTTATCCTAGTTTTATATTTCTAAAATCAAAACCAGATAAATTCTAACTGGTAAACACTAAGCAGCAGAGGTTAAGCACTTCTTGACTAAGTTAGCTATCTCTCTATTCGCATTGAGCAAATGAGAATTTCTAAGAGACATCACTGAGTTCCCTTCTATAACAGTTTTCTGTTCAAAAGGATAGATACCAAGAGAGTTTGGACTAAAGAGGGGACACATGCTTCTAGAAACCCCAACAAGAACCAGACAGAGGCAAAACATGTGGAGAAAATAAATGAATAGAAACCAGAACAGAACAAAAACACAGAGAACAAAAAACAGTAGAAGTTCTATTTGACCCATGAAAAAAAAGATAAGAGAATAAAAAACAAAGATAAAAAAGTCATTAAAAATGTGCTTACTTGACGAATTTGCCATCGGATTCAAATGTATCAGGCTTAGACCCTAACTTCATGAACTTCATCTTTCTTCGTCTTGATAACCAAAAAAGAACACACCTTTTAGTTTGTCTCTGAAGCAGGTTTGAGTTGTATACTCTCTCTATCTATCTATCCGTTTCGAACCGATCACATAAAAGGAGAACCACAGAAGGAAAAGAAGAAGAAAAGGCAGAAAAGATTGTTGCTTAATGTTGAGGTGGTGTTGGAAGAGGGAGAGACCATTAATGGAAATGGGATGTAAGAAAGGAGACAAGAGAAACCAAACCCATGTTTTGCCTCACTATCCTTTTGCAAGAAACCAAACTCCCTCGGACAACGGGATCTTTTTCTCCCATCTCAACTAACCATTTACTAACAGCATTTATTGACTCTCTCAATGCGAACAGAGAACAGAGAACACCATTAAAAAGTTTCAAACTTTTTCCCTTTCTTTTAAAAAAAAATTCAACTTTTCTTTCCAAGAAAATGAAAAAGCCTCAGAAAGATAATCCCATCGTCATAATCACACACATACACAGAGAGAGAAAACAAAGAAAAGCAAAAACCCAAATGGCGTAAGAGAGAGAGAGAGATGGAAGAAGTGCTTTTGTCTTTGAGAGAGTAATACAGGAAGAGAGAGAGAGAGGAGAGAGAGAGAGGAGAGAGAGAGAGAAGTAAAGGAGGAAGAGGAGAGAGATGAAATCAGTCGCCGCCAATGCTTTTAAAGCGGGGACTGATCCGCTGGGAGATCTTCTCTTTCCCTCTTCTTCTTCTTCTTCTTCTCTGCTTGGCTCAAATCTCAATGAAAGTGTATTAATTTTTATACATATTTTTTTATGAATTGTATAGTACTACTGTAGGAACTCTTTTAAGCTTTGCTCGGGAAGGGATGAGAGGAATAATGATGATTTATTTTCGGTCTGACGAAGTTGTCTCTCCTATAATCCTACTCCAACCAAAATATTTTTTCATATTTATTCTAAGGAAGGAAAAGTGAAAAATTGAAAGAGGGGGAACAAGAGAGAAAAAAGAGAGTGGGAATCTAGCTTGCAAATATTCTAAATTAGCCAGCTAAGTTGTTTGAATGTTACTACTAATTAACAACTGTTTTATCTCTTTCTTTATTTTAATTTTGTAATCACTTCCTTTATTCTTTACGTCTTTTAAGTTTAATGCGTGTTTATGTGTATACTGTTAAGAAAGAGATTGAAGGGGTAAAATCTATGTTCATTCTATTGATAACCAGAAAGTATATATAGGGATACAAATATGGTGAATAGACTAATGGGCCTATAATGGGCATCCACTAAATCATTCATAACACTCCCTCTTGGATGTCCATTAGAATCGAATAGTTGTAAATGCGCAAAACATGCTGCCTCATTAAAAACCTTACCAGGAAAACCCAGTGGGAAAAACCATGGTTAAGGGAAAAAGAGTGCAGCGCGCATTTACTCCCCCTGATGAGTGCATCCGTCAAGATCCTTGAGACGACGTAATCCAAGAAGACGAACTAATTTCTTGAAAGTTGCAGTTGGAAGAGCCTTGGTGAATAAATCAGCCAGATTATCGCTTGAACGAATCTTTAGAACATTAACATCCCCATTCTTCTGAAGCTCATGTGTGAAGAAGAACTTTGGGAGGATATGCTTTGTTCTATCACCTTTAATGTATCCTTCTTTTAGTTGTGCGATGCATGCAGCATTGTCTTCATACATAATTGTTGGAGTTTCTTTTCCCTCAGATATACCACAATCTTTCTTTATATGCTGAACGACGGACCGCAACCATACACATTCGCGACTGGCTTCATGGATAGCTAGAATCTCTGCATGGTTAGAAGAAGTGGCTGCAATGGTTTGCTTCATAGATCGCCAAGCGATGGCAGTACCACCACATGAGAATATATATCCTGTTTGTGATCGACCATTATGAGGATCAGATAAGTATCCTGCATCTGCAAAACCAATCAAATCTCCTTTGGCTTGGTTAGAAAAGAATAAACCCATGTCTTTCGTTCCATTGAGGTAACGAAGTATATGTTTAATCCCATTCCAGTGCCTTCGAGTTGGGCATGAGCTAAACCTTGCCAGTAAATTTACTGCAAAAGATATATCAGGTCTTGTATGACAAGCAAGATACATCAATGCTCCAATAGCACTTAAGTATGGTACTTCTGGACCAAGGATTTTCTCATTCTCTTTCTTAGGGGCGAATGGGTCTTTATCCACATCAACTGGCCTTACAACCATTGGGCTGCTCAACGGATGTGCTTGATCC